ATTAGCAGTCACACTTGGAATCATGTGCCCCAAATTCAATTCAGTTCCTCCCCAATTTGGATGCGGGGTTTAAACTAGAGCCCCATGATTAGTTTCCAAAGGAGGATTATTTCCAGGCAAGGAAGCATAAAGGAATCTAGAGCCCCCTTAGCTATCACTAACAAATATTATCCATAATAAAGAACCATTCCACCTAAGCGGTGCTCTTGCTGTGCGCAGGGCAAGCAAGGTGACCGAGTCTCTGAAACGAACGTCCTACATTCCAGAACGGAGCCCAGAAAGCAAAGCAGAGCAGCTCAAAGCCAGAAGGGCTTCCTTTCTGCTTGCCCCACATCTCGGGTCCACTTGCAACAGAGCAGGGGCGACCCTGGAGCCTCTCTGGCCATCCCGGCTGTTCCCCATCAGCTGGAAACAGGAATGCCCCAAACCATCTGTACCCTAATTCAGACATAAATAACGGGCTCCCTTGAGATCGAGCTACCTGCCCCTTTCCATCCTTGTCCTGCGCAATCCAACATGATAAATACGGTTCCCCAAACACTCCCCCCTTCCGAGCAAGCTCCAAAACCTTCCCTTCAAAGAAGGCCTATGAAGGAGAGGTCAAACCATTGCCAAGGGCTCCATTTGACACGCATCCTTCTGATGGAGCAGCCGAGGACCGGCTTCCGCCTGTGCGCATCCCAGGCCTGCCCCAGCTTTCTGGAGTCTGAGCGGGGTCCCTCCCAGCCCCAAATCTCTCTGACCTCCCCCAGCGCAGCCTGGCAGAGGCACTTCTAGGCCGCCCGGGGGCTATTTTTAGCTGTTCCTGCCCAATAAGATCACACCCTCCCACCTCTGCCGTTGCTGCCTCGGAGCTGTTGTGAATGACTCAACCCCAGCTTGTGGTCTGGGAGTTCAGTTCGCGGACTGCCTGCTGTCTGATATCGGAGGCAGAGGCTGTGTGCTCTGGTGGCTTGTGTGCTCCTTTGTGTGCTCTTTGGAGCAAGGAGGCCCAAGAGTTGGCCTGTGTGGGGCCCAGCTGCACAAGACTCCCTATTCTGCCCCACCTGTTCTCCAGGCTTGCATGCCTGAACATGCACTCCATTCTCTGGTCTGTTCTGCTGATCTGACTAGCCACCTCGGAGCTGGCAGATGCTTAATTTTAGGGGGAGGGAGTGTTAGCAGGATAGCCCCTACACCAGGAGTCGGTCATTCCTCATCTTCCCCTCCTCATGGATTTTGACCTCAGATTGCAGTTGTCTTCTTGGCTGAAAAACGATCCATGATCTTTACAGCACAGCATCCGGCCTCGTTCAGCCCTCTTGCCCTGCAGATTCGGGGTGCAAGCTCCCTCGTTTTTGCTCCTGTGCGCTTCAGGGCACCAAGTCCCCAGGCTGCTGCCTGAGGCGAGGCCTGGGGGAGCCTCTTCTGATGGCCTCTGGGCCAACGCGCCTCAACGGGCAAGAAGAGTCTCGCACCTTAGTCACGATTCCTTGGCAGCGGCCAAGACGGTCTCGGATCCGCTCCTTCAGCCAGCCCTTGGCCTGCGTGCCTGGCCCTGCGAAGGAGGGTGCAGCGGCCGCTTCCTCTGGCAAGACGTGAGCAGAGCCGTCTTTCCTCTGCCCGCACCAGCCTTAGCAGAAGCCAGCTCCCTCTCCTCCAGGGTCACTGAATTTTGCAATGCCCAGCTGCGAGAAAAAAGTATGTGTGAGAAAGACAGGAAGGAGTGGCAATCACCCAGCAAAACTGGAAATTACAGCCATGTTTCCTGAGTCACGACGAAGACAAGACCAGCGCTTTTAAGGAGGGGGCCTCGCATGGCCTTTTCTCTGGGTGGCCATTCCCTATCCCCAGCAGCAGCAGCAGCAGCAGCAGCAGCAGCAGGAGGACCCCTCTGCCAAATGAACACAGTTGCATGAAAAAAAATTAAGGCAGGAAACAGGCAGGCGTTCCCTCCTCTCCCCCCACCCCTTTCTTTGAATTGGCAGCCCACTCTGGACGAAGAGTCATCCTCCCAGCTCTTGTTCAGCGGCTGCCAGTCACTTGCTCGCCTTCTTGTGCTCGCTTGAAGCACATGTGCTGCTTAGAAACTGGCTAACTGCACTGGCTGTTGCTTTTATGGTTTTATCATCTAAATTATCATGAATGTCAAGAATTGGGGTTTATGGTGTATTTTAATGATTGTTCTGAATTTTTATTTTGTGATTTAGCATGTTATATGCTGTCCCAGGAGAGCCCATTTTGAAAGGGGGCAGAAAAATGTTTCTAAAAGCACAGCACAAGCGCTCTTCCGAGGGTGTTGGGAAACGTTTCTGTCTCAGAATGTGCTCTGGAGAAGAAGCTTCAGGAACGAAGCAAAACCGCCAAGAAAAACTGCAGCCACAAGCAGTTCTGCCGCTGCGTTCCTTCGGCGGACTTAAGGGCTGGGCCTGCTCTTTGCCAGGCGTGCCAAGGGCTGCCTGACCAGGGCCCCAGGCTGCAAGTTGGCACTTGGGTGGCTGGCGCGGCTTCGGTGGGGGAGAAGCCTCCCTGGACTTGGGCGCTGTGTGCGCAGTTGCTGGGCCTCTTCCCGGGCCGGGCCGTCCTTGCGGTGCTGCGGCTGGCCGGGGTGCGGGCCGCCGGCCGGGGCCCCAAATGGGCTGCTGCTCGGAGGGGCGGAGTGCCGGGCGGCGCCTGCAGGGGCAGCGCGCTGGGCAGAGGGGCTGCCTGCACCCCTCGGCCGCG